ATAACACATTTACTGTGGCACTAAAAAGGCTCAAGTCACTTAACAAAAGATGTAAAAACTGCAACAGCTAAAAATCCCTCAGTTGATTAGTAAAGAACTAGGAGTAAAATATTTGGAATTTTGTTTTCGACATATATATATATACACACACATATAGACTATTTGTTAACATGTTTTCGCATATTAAAGAAAAATGTAAAAAAAAAAATCTCTATTTGATTGCTTACGGTGTTAACACAAAAAATGCTGTAACTTTTTCTGAAAACACCTCAATTATTCAATTTTTTTATTATAAATAAACCAAACAAACTCCAGATACCGAAGTTTTTTTGGGTTCATCATACTGCCGTAGTTTAAGGTTTAAAAACGTAGTTACTACAGCAAAAGCAAAGGGGTAAACAGGTTTGGTATTGTAGTGTTCACAAGTCAGTACGGTAGCTCATTTTCAATTTCAAGTGAGTGAGAGTGTGAGAGTTGAGTCATGTTGCAAAAATATAGAATTGTAGCTAGAAACTAGACTCTCTAGACCAGGGATGACCAACCTTTTCAGCAGGCGGGCCAAATTTCAGAAATAATATTTCCTGCCGGACCACGCAACAAATTTTTTTTGTTAATTAAACTGAACAAGCAAGCGTGCTACAGCTTTGACAACATCGTCGCTTCCCTGTAGGTGAGACCAAACGCTTGCCTGGTTTAATGTAAACAAAACAAGAAATAGGTATATTTATTTTAAAAAAAAATAAATACATTTATTAGACAATTTAAAAAATTTTAAAAGTGAGACATCTGACTTAGTTTTGCAGAACTAAATGAATCAAAATTGATTTCGACTTATGTTGTCTCTACACCCAAACAGTTTTCCAAATGAACATCAGTAATTCGTGTTCTCACTTGTGATTTGATGTGCTTCATACAACTAAAAAGCTGTTCACGCGCATAAGTGTTTCCAAATAGGGAAACAATTGACATGGCATGTTTGTAAAACACAGAATATTTATCCTTGCCCAAATACGTTTCATAGAAAACTTCCAAACCAATTTGATGGAATTGATCCTTTAAATGTGTATCACAACACATTTCACATTGCTCCATTTGTAATCTTCCTGATAATAAATTCACATCTACCACGAAGGGCGTTGCAAATGTACTAAAAAAGCACATGTTTTTTAAAATCCTGAAATCAGTTTTCAAATTCGAGGTTTAAGTCAGATATCAAAGAAGCGTATTTATCCACTGCCACTTGTGTGACGTCTGGTTCCAATGACAATGTAGGAAAGTGAGTAAAGTTTTTTGTCCTCAACTGTTGTTCCCAAAGACCAAGTTTCATTTGAAATATGATCATACATCTTATTAGTTATTGATCTTTCCCTTGTAGACAATTACTGACGTCATTTAGATGGCTTGTTATATCGTCAAGAAATGCAAAGTCTAAAACCCACTCTTAGTCTTAAAAGTCTGGAATACTTATTGACTTGCTTGCAAATATTTCAAATAATGATTGTGTTTCTTGCTGCAAATCAAACACTCTTTCCAACATTTTGGCACGAGTTAACCATCTTACTTCTGCATAAAATGTAGCGTCATGATAATCTAAAGCTATTCAATGTCAATGTAACTGCCTCTAACAAATCTTGTGACTTAGTAGTGTCCTTAAGTGGATACAGTGCCACTAATTCTTCTGTATTTTTTAAATGGACATCAACACCCCTACTAAAAATTGCCATTTGGGCAGTACCTGCCATATCTGTGCTTTCATCCAATGCTAGAGCATAAAATATAAACTTGGATGCTTGACAATTATCGTCAATATATTTTCCAATGCCGTCCCCACACCTATTAATAGTCTGACAAGACAGACTTATGTTTTAGAAATCCTTTTATGTACACGGAATCTCAACGACGCTGTCCAAACATTCTTTAACCATTTCACAATCTGAATATGGCTTCAATTTTTTTGCTTGAGCATGGCTACTGCATGCGAGATATTTCCAATTCCTCTTAGCTATAAATTAAAATTATTTGACACAAAAGACTTATGATGTAAATGTAATGTTCTTTTGGTGATGTTAGTACAATAAAGTTAACATTTTGATTTATGTTCATTCGACCTAGCTCCGCGGGCCGCAACATGACCGCGTGTTGGCCACCCCTGCTCTAGAAAGACTTATTATAGTGACAAGCTATAAATCATTAATAAAATATATATACTATTATTATTAACTATACTATATAAATTTAATATTATATATAATATAATATTATATATACTATTACTATACTATACTATACTTTTATACTTATACTATTAGTAATTAGTAATACTATACTATATCTGATATCATACTCATATGGCAATGAGCCGCAATGGACTAAGAATGACTAAGACAGGCTAAATAAAAAAGTTAGTAAAGTTACTACACTACTGGTAACCTGTAAGACTGAAACTGAAGTACCCAGGTATAGCCATGACTACACTACAGTCAAGTATAAAAATACATTATAAATAAATATAAAAAATTTAAGTAGAGAGTAAGAAGAGAACTAATTTTACTAAGAGTAAGAGTCAGACACTCCAGTCCGTTGGAATTCGTTTTTAATAAGGCCGGCACTACGTACACCGCGGCGGTGTACCTAGCGAAACTATTGACTTTGGCCTACGTACACCGCGGCGGTGTACCTAGCTAAATCATTGTCTGTGGCCTGCGTACACCGCAGCGATTTAAAGTAGCAAAGCCATGGTCTTTGCGAGTCTTAAACTTTTTGGCCTAACTGGTACTTGTAGATTTAATGTTATACTCTTGTTAAAACTGGAAACTATTTATTTAAAATCGTTGAGTACCTTGGGAGGAAGCTTTTGAGTAAGTTCCACGCTTATAACTTATGTGGCTAAGTACTTGTAGAGCATTTCTTACTTATTGGAAGGGAGGGGGCTGGGGGTGTAATGTTAAACCATGATTTATTTT